CCTACAAACCCTGTGTCATTTCAGAATAAAATGGCAGTAGCCTTTTTAGCCTGAAACGAAGGGCCATTTCCGGTCTGTCATCAGACCGGCCTACCCTGAAACTCAGGCACCGAACCAGGGTTTTAGGAACAAGCTATTTTTGGCCTGTTCCAATGACAGCTGCAGCGCCAACCCCTAGCTCAGTTCGACATTGGCAAGAGCAGCCTCTTGGACTGCCCGCCCTGCAACTGCAGGCAGTTGGAGGCAGTCTGGAGGCAGGCCGAGATAATATATAGGGAATTCCCATGCACTTCACGGGTAGGCAGGAGGCAGTCAGTAGTCTTCAGGATTCGGCCGCAACACTCTGGAGGGAGCGCTGCAGGAGTAGTAGCGCTCGACGCCAGTAGGTAGCTGTAGTCTTCAGCGCTGGGCGCCATAGCTAGGATAGTACTAGCGAGAGAGAGATTGGGCGGAGGCCAGGAGTACCTACCTGCAATGTCGTTGCTCTAGCTTCGTCTTCGAGGTACCTGCAACACAACGCCAACTTCACAGGTTAGTACCTGGCTCGTGACAGAGAGAGAGTTCTTCTTCTTCCTCTTCTAAGTCCACCATCTCCCTCTCTGAGTCACCCTCTCATTATCTGACCTCACTGCATCAGTAGACTACGAGAGAAAGAGAGAGAGAGTCTCAGAGAGCTTGGTGACATTGGATCCAGACTCGACTTTTGGGCTTCCGACATTTCGACGAGGGATTTTTTGGGACTTGTGACAAAGACTTGGTGTTGACGACACTCCCATCTCTCCCCCTCTTCTTCGTTTGATCCCTTCGTCTTCGTCTGTGTATGTCTGGACCTGACGCTTCCTTCTTGTGTAATAGCGCCAGGCTCCTTCACACTTTGTGATGAGTATGATGTATGTTTGGTCTGCGTTGAAACATTGATTGGGCAAGTCATTAGTATTCTAGGGTTCTGCTTCGCTATCTTGTACAACGTGAAAGGGATCAGTCCCGGTCAGGTCAGGATTTGTATCTCAGTCTTCTCTGCGCTATTCAACACCATTTTGTATGTATCGGAATGCACATTGCTTGTTGAGATTATACTTGCACTGCATTGTCCATTCAGTCATTTTCATCACATTGCGGATCCTCGGTTATTGTGTACATCGCCCGACTGGGCATGTAACACTGTCTGAGAGACCCCAAGTACCGAGAATACTGGGAAAATGAGCATCTTTCTTGACAGTTGAGGTTGGGATATCCTGCCTTTCCATGTTTAAAAAAAAACGATACGGTGTGTGCATGGGATTTCTAGGAGGCTATAGGGCAAAATCCACGAATCCTAGTTAGTCCCAGTACGCGCGATCACCTGTCCTTTACGGCCCCGAGATTCGTTGCCATAACTACTGAGTTCCCTCCCTTCTATCGCCTCCTTCCTTACCACACTCTGGTAGTTGTTACCTGGAACGCTATAGCCCCTTACTGGTCACGAAGGCCGTGCTCTGAGTGCCAACAATATAGTTCTTACGGAGAAGCGGGATTTGTCCGACGAACCCGCTCTGAGGCTGAACGTCAAGAGCATAGCCTCCGATTGAGGCCGTTCACGTCAGACTCTGAGATCTGTGAAGCCCGCTGGCGACAAGTGTTTGCCCAGAGGGACAGCCACTGTGTTTCCCCAGTCCAGAAGACCCGAATTCGGTCCAGGCGACAGGGCCGATGGACATAGCCACCCGGTTCTGAGAAGTGGAACAGGAAACCTGGTTCGTCGCTGAGTCACTCGCACTTCTGTCCTTCAAACTTGACACCAGAGATCCCATTTCCGACCTGGACTCCACCCCACTTTCCAAAAATCCTTGGCACACCGCTTTCATGGACTTCCGGGCCCCCTCCCACTCCGAAACAGGAAGTCGCGCTGGGCGTGAGGTTGGGCGTCACAATGGCAGGACCTAAAAGGAATATCTTTAGTCAAATTCCACAGTTTGGTATGGCTCAAGTCACATATGGTGATTAGATGTATCCGGGTGAATCCGGTAGTGCTTAGTAAGAGTCACGGCAGGTTCTTGGGCTTAGCAGATCACGTTCTTCTGGCACCTTAGGGTGAAGAGGCCTTGGTTCAGGCCATGCCTTCACAAAAGAAGGCCTGAGCATTACTATTTCAGAATTGTATGAATGTATGGGACTCTGGACCCGGTTTCCAACAATGAAAGAAAAAAAAAAGATCTCATTGGTTGAAGCACTCCTTCAGTGAGCATGTGGACGGAGGGAGTCACCATCAGTGCTAAGTTTCTTGTTGAGAAAGGTGGCCCTTACTTTTGTGGCTGTTGTGACGGCCAGGTCTACCATTGGATCGTTTATGATCTGATAGTTAGGACTCACTCGCCCGCTATTTTTATTCTGGAAAAATTTGTCTGGCGCCCCTGTAATTTGCGTTATTTCCTGTCGCGCCCCTCCGACGGCCAATTTACCCTGTCGCGCCCCTGGGCCAGAAAATATTTTCTGCAGGCCCTTGTCGGTAGCGACCACAACTTTCCAGGACGCCCTCCTTGGACTGATGGTCGGGCCCTGTGCCATATGCCCTCTTGACGGGCAGCCATCTTTCTGCAATGCCCCCGCAGCCGTGAGGCACCACAAATTCGCATTTCCGTCGGGCCCTGTGCCATATCGTCCGCTTCCCTTCAAGTGTGTGTGTGTGTGTATGTGTGTGTGTGTGTGTGAGAGAGAGAGAGAGAGAGAAAGGGTGAGTTGGTGACTTCTCTCTCTCTCTCTCTCTCTCTCTCTCTCTCTC